AAGGGCACCTGTGACCCTCCCCACACCCGAGAAATGCAGGGAGACGTTCGGTGACCTCGAGTTCTACACCACAAAACCTCTGCTCGAGAGATGGCGTAAACTTCCAAAAACCAACAAACAAAAACCCCGTGTCCCTGTCAAATGCAACTGACTGCATTTCATTTATGAAATCAAGAGGCGAATCTTTCACTCGGATCGCGTTTCCAAGATGCCGGAGACACAGCGGCCTCATCAGGGCGGCCGTCCAGTGTGCTTGGGGTTGTCCTCTGAGCTTCCGAGCACAAAGCACCCAGCAGTGCAGGGTGGGGGTGTGGATGCAGGGCAGAGAACACGGAACTGGGACGCCCCATCTGCGTCCATCCCCAAAACTGACCTCAGCGCCTCTTCTGGGCCTTTATGCTCTTCTCCAAGAGAAGGTGTGAGCGGGAGGCCTGGGCGAGACTCGAAGACCCACCAGCGCTTTGCAAATAGCGATCGTGTTGTTTCTCCTACAGTTTCTTCACCCTGTTTTGGTGTTTCTTCTTTGAAATGCATTTTGAGACCGTCCGTCCGCAGGGGGTTCTTTGTGGTGAAAAGAGGCCCCGGGCACAACCAAGATGAAACTCTCCGCCCTGTGACAAAAGCATCAAAATATGGGAAGGTAGAAGGGCTGGGGATACTCACAAGGCTGCTCCTAACACTGTTTCCTTTCCGTGCCTTCCGGTTCCTGGCTCTGCAGAAGGCCACGCCACCCAGGGTCGGCCGGGCTCCTTCAGGAGGCCTACTGGACAGGACTTTGGGGATCAATAAGTATGGGAGAGACAAGGAGGGGGCCGCCCAGAAAGCTCCGGAGCCCCGCCCACCTCTCTCGTTGGGCCCATATGCGGGTTTTTCCCCCTCCATTGTGACCTGCCACGGCACAGGCTGCCTGCAGGTTGCTGTGACCTTGGTCGGGGCGGCCCTGCAGCCCAAGCAATCCCTGAAGGCGCTGGTGCAGAAGGGCGGCAGCTGCCCGCCCCACTGGGAGCCGGGACGACTGGTCTCTCCTTGAAGGGATGTGGACAGCACAGCTCCACACCCACCAGCCGTGTCGACCTTGACCCTCTGTGTTTAATTCATTCTTCTCTGTACATGGCAGACCCCACTACAGAGAAGCCCCTGGAAACAGGCCGACAAGCCAGAGGAGAATGAGCACCACCAGGGAGCACTCATGATCACCGGAAAGCATGTAGCCGCACCGGGGAAAGGGCAGGCGGACGTTCATGAGGTGTGGTGCTAAAGCCATGCGCCGACTTCAATCCTGACTGTGGGGACTTGCGCCTTCGCTCCTCCCAAAGCCTGGGGCCCTGCGGTCCCCTCCCCTCCCGGCTGGCCCTAGAGGTTCCCAGGAAGCCCCCGCGGGCGGGCAGCGTCCCTCCCGCAGAGATCCAGCGACACGAGGGGGAACCCCACGTGAGGGGCCTCCAGGCCGCAGCAAGGGCTCGGGGATGGGGGTTGGGGGCTCCCCCCGGGCGACCGCATCAGGCTCCGCCCTTTGTGCAGCACGCGTGTGGCCGGTCTGCGGAACCCGGCGCAGGGTTGACAGTGGAAAGAGTGACGTGAGGCCTCGCTGGCGAGCCGGCCCCAAGAATGTGGCACTCTTTCTGGCCAAAATGTATCACTCTGGGAAGAACTCCAAGCCCAAGGTTGAGAGGAATCTTTCCTGCGCTCAGAACCCGGTCTGGCCGCCCACACGGAAGCCAAACAGGGTCCAAACGGGGTCAGGGGCAGACCGGGCCAGCCAGCAGGGGTCCAGGGGCTCCATCCCGGCTCTGCCCCTCACTAGCCCTCGGAGCTCATGCAGGGACCACACCCCTCCCGTTCCTTCCGTTTCCGTGGGGGGTCTCGGTGATGTCTCCTCACTCCGCTCCTCTATGACCAGGAAAACGAGAACATTCAGGAAAAGCCCCGCTTTCTACTGACAGGTGATTTACCTGCCTCCAACCTATTCCCTGCACATCAAGAGAATCGAGAGAGGTTCTGAGTTTGGCAAACGCTCGGGTCCCCATCCTCGAAGTCATGCGGGCCTGTCTCTGGAGAGGAAAGATTCTCAGACCAGGACAGTCTGGGCTCGAGCATGGGGTCAGAGCCTACCGTCCCCATCCCGGGGAATGGGGGAGCATACTGGCTTCCGGGCAAAACAAAGCCCAAGCCGGGCCCTTAGTCCCAGCCCCCACTGGGAAAAAGTAGCAGAAGCCGCCCTCCTCCCCACACTGCTGCTGTCCTGTCTGTCTGACAACCTCATCCTGGCCACCTTTGGAGCAGAGGGAGGGAGGAAGTGCCCTTCATGTCTGGTCGCTTTCCTGGCCAGCACACTTTGAAACATACTGTCCGTGGGTTCCTGGAGGCTCCGTTTTCGGAAGACAGCTTCTCAGATGCCCAAGGCAGTGGACGTGGGCCAGGCCTGGGGAGCCTGCAGTCTTCCCTGGAGCGTTTCCGGAGGCCGGGAACCAGGGGACGCCTCAGCACCGGACCTGCACGGAGGCACAAGGTGAAATGGAAAAGCAACAGGCAGGACAGGTTCCACCACCGAGGTAGCTGGGGGACTTCCAGCAACTTCCGCCTCTGCACCCAGCTTCCTCCTCTGGAGAAAGAGGACAATTAGTGGCACCGAGGTGGTCGAGGTGGTCGTGAAGATAGTTAATAGGCACAAAGGACATGATAAGCGTTGGAAAAGTAAAGCTGGCTGTGACGCTCTCAACTTTCAACGGCCTGTGGTGCAAATAAGTGACCACTGTCCCTTCTGACTCCTGCAAGCATTTCCTGCTAACTGCTGACCCCACGTTTACTATCTGTTCACGGCCTTATCTCCCCAGTCAGACCATCCTGTCTGGGGGACACGCAACGGGCTCACAGAAATAAACTGGCGGAAAAAATAAAAAATACATGTAAAGACAGCGTTGTCCACTGTCCTGGGGGCTGTGATCCAAGGCGACGCAAGGGGCATATAGGGTCCCAGAAGGCAGGTCCCTGCACGGTGGGGCTGGGGAGACGGAGGGGGTGCCTGTGGTCCGGTGTGTGTCG